ACTTTTTTTCAGCAAAGATATATAATACATAATATAAATTATTATCATGAAAGCGAAAATAGTCAAAGCTAAAGTAGAAGGTCAAAAAGTTAATTGTCATCTTGAACCAGATTTTCTTGAACTATCTATGTGCACTGATAAACTCCTCAAGAGAATCAGTGGTAAAATTAGCAGAAAGTTGACTCTCGAAGAAAAAGATAGTAAATTCGTTAGAGAAGAAACTACAGCCTCACTTGGGTTAGCCGTAATCCCACTTACCTTCACCTCTAACATAAAAAATAGAGGCAAAGTCTCATTACTCTGTAATAATGCTTGACTTAATAATAAGAAATTTATGTGTCTTGACACTAGCTCCGCTATTACTATACCAACCGAAGTGTTAGTTGAAAAATATAATTCTAAAATACCTAATTATATATTACTTGATAATAATTGGTTCTGTGGTCGCAAATATGATAATGATGAGCTCCAAACATACATACCTGAAATTGTAACCGATGCAGAAGATGCTTGGATAAAAACAACTCTCCGTATTAAAAATCTCGCCAAGAAGAAAGGGAGGAGGGTTATAGTGTATGTTATTAAAAATAGTGTTGATGAATTCTACAACCCCGCTTCTTCTAACTCTGATGATATAGAGCATCGAACCTTTGGTTCTTCTGATACTTCTGATTCAAGTGATTCTTCCACATTTAGTTCAGAATCGGATGATAAGCATATGTGCAAGGCTGTTATACGTCCGAAACGTTATTACAGAGTAAAAAAGAAAAAACAATTATCGAGTTATATAAAGTGATACCGCATGATAATTTTTCGTTTAACAAATTATATTTACCTAATGTAGAAAAGCAAGTCGGCTTACCCGTTTGTCATATTTATTTTTTTCGGTTAGCTTAGAGGATTGTACATCCAAATCTGAGACAGGCTCTTCCGATCTCAAGAATGTATAATTATTTATCAAGTTATTAGTTATTTTTTCGTGGTAATATATATTATTAAATATACTTAACATGTTCGTTGATTCTCTTGTAGAAGGAAAATTCCCAGTAAAAGCATTAATTGATACAACATCTAAATACAATACTATTAGCAGGCGCTTGTTCGATAAGCTTGAAGAAGATTATGGAATACGTCATATCTGTGATCCTGTTGAGATTCTCTATGGAGATGTAATAGGTGAAATAAAATACTTAGATTTGCAATTTTGTTATAAAGAAAAGTGGCGAAGCTTAGATGCCACCGAAGTAATAGACTTTCAAATTCGCAAAAATTCATCATTCGATCTGGTGTTAGGACAAGAATGATTATGGATGCATAAAGCAAAAATAAGCTTTGAATTTTCTCCTGAAGCCCGTAGTTACCATGCTAAAATTGTAATAGATGGTATGAGTATCCCATTAATCGAAGAAGGTAGCAGGTCCATAAGTGACTCGAAAAGTCATAAAACCAGTTCCTTTAAAAATAACTTATCTAAATCAACGGAATCTAAACCTGGTCTAGCTCAAGAGGAGGTTATGAATATAATTAACAAAATTCTCTTAAATATCGAAGATAGACTCGAAGAGTCATTGCTTTGCAATAATAAACAACGAATATTTCACAACATACCTCCTGCACATCTACCATCCAGAAGATTAAATGACGATCTCAGTAGAGAAATTAAAAGGACAACTCAGAATCTGAAAAAAATGATGCACATGCTCCACGATACCTCCCAAATTTGAATCGTTCTCATTGCCCGTGACATATGTTCAAGATAAATTAATCAGATAATTATTTTTCGATTTGAATTTATTCTTTTACTCATTGTAAGAGGTAACAAAATTCCTTACCCAAGTTGATGTGTATGTATTTGGATAATCCTTTTTTTTTCGATTAGCACCATCGATTAAACAAAGATAAGTAATTTTTCAAATGAATATAATTACCTTATAACTGCGAAGTAATAATTTTATTTCAAGATGGCACCCAAAAAAACCAACAAAGATCCTGATTCGCAACTGTCGGAGAAGCCTACCAAATCAAGATCAGCTCTTGCACAATTGGCCAAGGACGATATTACAGCAATACTTTATACCAAAGAGCTAAAAGGTGGGTCTAAAAAAGTTTCGGAGTGGTATAAAATTGGTACCCCAAAGTGTAATAAAATATGGAAGTCTGAGAACCCATACTCATATGTTAATTCAATCGAAGATGCGAACTTGCCCAACTGGTACCCTAATAATACCAAAATCGAAAAAGCAAGAATATCACCCGAACTAACGCCTCAACGTGAGCTGGCTAAAGGCCAAGAAATAATTACACCCAAGGAACCTGTTATCATCAAACCAGATCCCATCAAAGTAAAGAGGAAGAGAAAAACAACTGAGATTGAAAATATCACGTGTCGAATATTGAGATCCGAGCTAAGGAAACTATACGTGTTGCCCAAATCCCAAATCATTTGGGATTTGGGACGCCAAAATTTCAAATTACTAGTATTTGGGATTTGG